AGTATGAAAAAACAGCCTATAGAACCACTTACATTAACTTCTCAATATAAACTTATGATGGTATTATGGTATATACACAGTATAGGAAACAGTAATGTGGCACAAATTCTTGGCAAGGTCTGCACATCAGAGCTGCGTCATTTACACCCACATTATATCATGATCAGTTAACGAGTTATAAACAGCCGTATGCATAGTCGATCGCCAGCGACTCGCCAGAGATTCATTTCGGCGTATCGCCAGCGATCCGCTGACGAAAGCCCGAAAAGGTGGCGACTCGCTGGAGATTGTCATTGGCATGTCATTTCGCGCAAGTTTTCATGTTCTTTTATAGGGAAAAATTTTATATTTGTTCATTGTTTTTTGAGTTTTAAGAAATGAATCATTAATAAAATGCGAGAGATGTCGGTGATAATCCCTATAAAAGAACATGAAAACTTGCGAGAGATGACATGCCGGTGACAAACTCCAGCGAGTCGCCACCTTTTCGAGCTTTCGCCAGCGGATTGCTGGCGATACGCCGAAATGAATCTGAAAAATCGCTGGCGATTGACTATGCATACGGGTGAAAGTGATTTGAAGTAGTTGCCAATACTATTTATAGTATTCTTCTGCTAGTGTTGTATTCAAACAGTTGTCAATTAAGTTAGTGTGAAGTTGTTTTTCTTTCCAGTTTTATTGTTTTATTTAGTTTGGGTTAAATAAAATACAATATGCTACAATATTGTGCAGTTTTTAAATAATAGAATAATTTAGAAAAGAATAACCAACCCTCAAATGATTCCAGCAAAATGGCGTCGCCTGTCAAACCTCTTCCTCCTTTTAAAAAATCGAAGTGAACACGATACATTGGCGTAGAAACTTATTTTATAGATGCTGATGGGCGGTCTATGTCCATTTCTGGGTCTAAACGTCCATTTAAATGAGGTGGCCAGCATCAACATTCTGATGTGTCGAGAAACCCATTGGGAATTGGCTAATCCCAAGCTTCTATAAATATCGTAATAAGTAAAACACACACACTCGTTAAATGCGCTTTTTATTAACGCTACTCAAAGCAATAAATTTACACTGCACTTATTATACAACTGTGGCCTCTACTGGGCTACTATAAATTAAACTACTGAATTACATGCTGATATAATATAAATTTTTACATCTACTACGATGGAGCTATTACATTTGACTGAGTTATTTTATTAAAATTCGTGAAGTTATTAAATCATTTTTGATGGAAAAACATTTCTTATGTCATGTATCGCTTAGATTGGTTGCTTCTCGTCAGCCGCCTACTATTCGTCTGAATGATTACTGATTGTCCCTCGTCTTCTAGAGGGGGAGCCGTTGCTCGTAGACAAAATGATAGAGGTGATATTGCATTTTTCTTTCTAGAGGTAAAATTATGTGTACATGTATTTGAATAATGTGTTTTGTTGTTGAGAGGGTGTAATATTATGTGATAGTATTATTACGTAATTGTAATATTGCTTAAGTGTTCAAATGTATTTTGAACAGATTCTAGTAACAATTTCTCGTAATGCATGTAAATAGTTTAATAAATTGTGAATACCTGTGAAAATTTTGTATAATTATGATTTGAGCTGTTTATATAATTATTTTTAGTCCATAAACACAAATAAATACAGATAAATATTACTACAAAATTCTCGAAGTCGTCCGACCTAGAAACTTCTGTCCCTGCCCTATATATCGGGCACGGTGGTGTAGCGGTCTATCGCGCTTATATTCATTTATAGGCAAGTTTATGAGTCTGAGACTGCTGGGTTTCGAATCCCAGACCGGACCATGTGGATTTTTAATTAAATTGCATGGTTCGGTTTAGGATTTGATGTGTGGCGTATTAATAGAAATTCAATTTCTGTTGATATGACATGCAGATTAAAAAAATTCGCCATACATTACCGTCTCGATGATGGTGGGTGAGGTTTTCCGGGTTTTCCTCACCTGTAAGTCAAATGGCACCATCAATCATCTTTAAGTCGCCCCGGAGCGCCACGGCAAATAATAATAATAGCCGTCCCTTTCCCCGGACAAGCTCAGCTTTTGGGGTTAAAACTCACTCGTAAGGGGGTGAATTAGGGAGAGTATTATTATTATTATTATTATATGAATGCTGAGATATGGTGTTATAAAACCTCAAAAATTTCTCAAAGAAAAAAATGACTGTGACCTACCCTACCCTACTCCTACAGGCTCCTCAAAGTGGGTAGTCAATGTTACGAAGAACTGCGGTGAGACAAGACGGGGCTGGTGAGTGAAATCAATAATCACCCCATCCTCGCCATGGTCTAAGACTCGCTAGTTCCCCGACAGCACATAGAAAAGCCATACAGCGTCCTCATTCCAGAGAGAGACGCATGGAGCAAAGGGGAAAAAACCCTCTTCTAGGCAGACTATGCGCTGTACACGGACGGCTCCAAAACTGAAAAAGGAGTAGGAGCGGGAGTTTTCGGCGAGAGGCCTAGAGTTGACATATCAATAAACCTAGGCTCTCTGGCAAGCAGAAATGATTGCTATAGAATTGGGAGCGAGAGAGTTGATTAATTTTCTCCCCGCAAACAAGACTATAAAGATCTTTTCAGATAGCCAGGCAGCCCTTAAGGCCCTGAGCTCCAATCGAGTTGACTCAAAGCTGGTTTGGAACTGTATAAATACCATAGAGTGTCTCGGTGCCCGGAACAAAGTTACTTTGATCTGGGTTCCGGGACACAGTGGTGTGGAAGGCAGTGAAAAAGCCGACGCACTTGCTATAAGAGGAACCGAATCTGTGTTTATAGGACCAGAACCATTCCTGGGCATTGCAAAAAGCACTGCCAAAGGAATTATCTCAAAATGGACGGAGGGTGCAACACTCACGAACTGGAGAGATACCCCAGGGCTAACCCATTCGAAGGCGTTTATAAACAACCCTTCCATGAACGCCTCTGCTCAGATCCGAGAATGGAGTAGGAGAGATCTACGCATTTTCACTGGACTGATGACAGGACACTACCGTCTGGGCAACCACATGAGAAGGATAGGTCTGCAACAAACATCGGACTATCGATTCTGCAGCGTGCAGGACGAGTCTGCAGAGCACATTCTATGTACCTGCTCCGCTCTGGAAAGAACCAGGTTCCAGATCTTCGGATTTACCCGACTGGAGCCTACCGACTTTAGAGAAGTCTCACCCAATTCAACCATGACCTTCATCAAAAGGCGTGGCTTGTACGGTGAACTATAAGTTAGTTATGAGCCAGAATAGACCCATCTGGGTCGCAATGGAGGGCGATGAGATCATCCCACTCATTTTCAACCTAACCTAACCTACCCTCCCCTACTCACACAACAGAAATACTGGCAAAAACAATAGTATGAAAAAAATGTAATAGTACATTGTGCAACTACCTATTTAATTAAATGAAACTTCGTGTAAAATATTCTTGCCAAATAACACTTAAAATCAAAAATTTAACCTCTAGTGTAATTACATTTGTTAAAACAGTATGATGACAACGATAACCGACCTATAACGGTTTGTATCAAAACTGGCTCCATGACAAAACAAAGCACGACAAAATGGCGCAGGATAAAATAGCACAGACAAAATAGCGTATGACAAAATAACCCAAAGACAAAATAGCGCAAAACAAAATAGCGCCAGGACAAAATAGAACAGGATAAAATAGCGTAGGACAAAATAGCGCAAGACATCAAAGCGCGTGTCAAAATATTCCACTATAATTATTAAAATAAAAAAAACTTAAACTAAATTATCTTGCCTGGGCGGCCTGAAGTCATCGTAGGATGCTTTAAAATAAAATTACTTAACTGTGTGGCCTGGAGCCATATAGATCAACCCGCCATGGATGCAGGCTGCACAGACTAGGTAAATTAGTTAAAGTTTATTTTTAAATTTAATTAGAATACTGGCATTTTGTCACGCGTTAATTTGTTTTAGTCTTTGAAAAAGCGTTAACTTAACTCACTTTAATTAGACCAGGCGTTAATTGATCTCACTTTATTTATATCAAGCGCTAACTTGTTTCTCATGTATTTGTCTCGGCGCAAGTTTGTCGCAAATTATTTTTCCCGCGAGAAATTGTTTCGCGCTAAAATTGGTCGGATTCTAAAATGTGACAGAAACGGAGCTTCACTTCAAACATTCTCTACTTGGGCGTCGTTGGAATGGTATTTGTTACGTATTATTAAAATAAATTTCGTTAACTTAAAAACAGAGATAACGAGGAGATGTAACTACTAACAAACGTCGTGCGGCCCTGAATAAGACATATTCTAAGGAACACAGACGGGTATAATATCCACTGTTGTCATATGCCTATTTCATTATTCTCGTTTTGTTTACAAAATTATTTACATATATTTAAAAAGCTATTTTATAAACCCAAAAAATTTTGAAATTTAGTTATATTAAATTTAACTAAATTAGGTGTAATTTCACTAAATTAGATGTAATAATTTTCAAAAAATTCCAAAACCTAGTGATTGGCAGTGGCAACAGGGCTTACACCGGCATTGAAATTTACGTTGTGTATTATAAGCGCGCAGCGTCTTACATATTTATTCATTGATAAAACTGCCAAAAATTCTTCTCTTTATCCCTTCTCTTATTTCTCACCTTTCGTCGCCTCGCCCCGCGTCTAGAAATAGAATGTATAGATTGTCGAATTAATGTTGGTATCGTGAATATTATATTTTGTGAATGACTGCTTATATCTCTGTTATCTCTGCTTAAAAACCATATTTATTTCGTTACGCGCTATTTTGTCCTTGCGCCATTTTCTCCTGCGCCGTTTTGTCATGGAGCCTTTATAAGTAATTGTTTTATAATCATAATAATTCAATGCCATAGGATAATACAATACTGTGGTCTGTGATATTGTCACTCATGATTTATAAACTCAATTGGTCGAAATAGTGCCACATGATACATAAAAACATTAGGAATATTATTTTTTAACTTGAATTTGAATTTGTAGGTGGTCCAGAAATGTGCCCACCGGATTTCAAAGAATCTGATCCAGTAATATTTTGGGTATATGGTGGATTAAGATTTTTGGCAACTATGATGCAGTTAGCAGCAACATCTATTATGGATCCAGTAGCTTTATCCTTGATAGAAAAATATGGTGGCGACTTTGGCAAAGAAAGATTATTTTCATGTATTGGAATGGCAATTTTTTCACCAATTGTTGGCGCTCTTATTGATTGGAATAGTGAACGTTTGGGATATACCGACTATTCAGCAGCGTTTTATGCATTTGATGTACTTCTAATAATAGCTTCTATTTCTCTGCTTGCTATGCAAATAGATACAAAATTACCATCTGATAGTTTATTCAGTGATTTAAAAAAAATATTAAAAATGCCATCTCTGATGGTATTTGTTTTCTTCTTGTTTCTTTTAGGAAACCTATGGGGCTTCATTGAAAGCTTTTTGTTTTTTTATTTAAAAGATCTTGGAGCTCCTACTTACCTTTTGGGTATAACTGTTACAGTGGGAACAATGAGTAGTATTCCTTTTCTATATGGTGCCGAAAAAATAACTAGAAAAATTGGACACGTAAGAGTTATAATAGCAGCCTTTTTTGCCCATTCTATCAGATTAACAGGATATTCTCTGATTGGGTAAGTACCTAATTTAAATAAAAAAATGTGTCCAACACATCATGACTTTCCTGTCTAGTTTTTATGAGCTAAGTACAACCTATTTTATCATCCCTCCAAAATTTTAGAGGATGAACTAAAATACATACAGGGTGGCCCATCAAAAACATACAGCAAGACATTACATGGTGAAAAAGAACTTTTTGGCGAAATCCAGAAGCACGTTAAGTTTGTTTGTCAAGAGAACACCTTTTGATGCAAAAGGCATAGTAAAATATTACACCCCCTCAGTAGGGGTTTCATACTCCAAATTTTTTCAAAGGGGAAGTGGGACCTAATTAAAAGGGCCTGGTCGTTCCCAATACAATGCTGCTGAGTTTTTAAAAATCGAGCCGCACGTTTAGAAAATTATGGAGCCTTGGAAGTTAAACAATAAGAGGGAAAGCCCACTCACGCGACATGTCGCGCGCGACTGATCGCGCGCGACTGATCGCGCGCGGCAATACTTTTAATGTTTTTAAATGACTACGCGACCACGCGACAGAACCGCGTTAATGGGGTTTGAGTCATTTAAAAACATCAAAAGTATTGCCGCGCGCGATCAGTCGCGCGCGACATGTCGCGTGTGTGGGCTTTCCCTCTAATGTGTGTCGGAAAATGCAAAAAGCAATTTAATTTAACTTGAAACATTGCCGTATTTTTGAAATTACATTAACTATTCCAAAATTTAAAATCAAACACTTTGTTAACTCGAATCACTTAAACCTTTGTTACTATAATGGTATTTTTTCAAATGAATTTGTTGTTTCTGTCGCTTTGTACTTTCTATAAGTATTTTTGTTGGTAAAAAATTATCGAGTTTCTTTCTTCACGTTTAAATTAAAGTATTTGCTAGATACCTAAAATATTTTCATGGGTTTTACATTTGCAGGTATTGCATGCGGTGATACGAGGAGTCACAATGTATCATCTTGTAAAAGGACGTGTAGCTAATGGTGCAGGTGTACGTTTTTAAAAACTGTTTATGTAGCTCTTTTAATGAATCACAAAGATATCTTTTTGTTTCTTAATTTTTTTCTTGTGATACAGTCTATTTTACCAGGCGCCATTTTGTTGTTAGAATCTTGCTCTAGAATTTTTTTTTACGTTTAGCCTTACTTTTTCGCTCAGCTGGTGATTAAAACAATCATTTCTCGTAGTTTTGTACAAGTTTCGGATATCAATAAATGGCTTCTGACTTCTTAAACATAGGGAGTTGTCTCTTAACAACATCTTTAAACAGTCTTCTTTTTCTAAAGGGTTGCAGTTTGTTCACTTCTGTGGTTATAATCTCATTAAAAAGTAATCATTTGACAACTTCTTTTTTCTGGATCTGATCAGTTAGCAATAGCTGAATTTTTGTTTTTGGGCTCTTAGATTTTTTCTGCAGGTCAATAAATCTCTGATTTCTTTTTCTATATTTGTCCAGACTTGTTCTTAAGCGTATATTCTTCTCTTTAAGCTTCCAATTTTCTCTAACAACTTTGCTGCGATCTCTTCTTATTTTTTTCCTTTCACGTAAATTAGCTGGGGTCACAACTGGGCTATTTGTTCTTGATTGATTACTAGAAGGTGGACTATTTTCGTGAAGCACATTTTTTCTGTGCAGTCGTCCTTTTATAATAATCATTATTATGTTTCCGCCATTGTTTCTTTTTGAGTCTCTGTTGCCGAGGAGTTAACTCGCTAATAGGTTTCACAATACCTTTTTTTCTTCTTTAAATATTTGAGTCTTTCTTTTTCCTTATGTTATTCGTAAAGCAAAGGGTTTTCCTTAATTTTTTTGTAGCGTTCGCGCTCTTCTGTTTTCTCAGCAGTGTTTCTTCCTGAGACAGTTTCTTTGGCATTACGAAGCGATTCCTTAATCTATAATAAAATAGGTTAATATTACGGTTTATGATTAGTATATAAAATCCATATAGTTTTTGTAAGCTTTGCTAACCGATACCACTTTCAGATGCATTCTATAAGTTTAAAACGTTAATTTTCTACAATTTTCTTGTTTAAAAATCATAATTTCACTTTTTCCTGTTGCATTCACATTCCCCTGGAAAATTAGGACCAGGGCAATGTGAACCAGGGGAATGTGAAAGGACCCCGCACAAAAAGATAGGAAATGCACTCTCGGTCAAATTGTTTGAATTTATGATATGTTATACATTTTGTCATTCTGAACAAAAGTCTCAATGGGCACTAAGCTCCAAAGTCCATGGTTTGGCTCCTATGGAGCTCCGAAGCTCCACCATATTATAGGAACCTCTAAAACGCATGTCACCTTTTTGAATATCATATTTTAATATATGCCCTTAAGTTTTTGAAGATGTTAAATTGAAATATGATGTCAAATCCATAATATTGGCAATTGACAGCTGTCAAACAACTGTCAAATGCTTTAAAACAAGAGAAATCTTATATTAATCTTATATTATCGATTTGACATCTTATTTGAATTCAGTGTCCTCAAAACCATATCATAACATCCTTTAATATGAGATTTCATTTTTTTCTAAGCATTTGACAGCTATTTGACAGCTGTAAACTATCAATATTATCGATTTGACATCTTATTTCAATTCAGCGTCCTCAAAGATATGATAACATTCTTTAGTATAAAATTTGTTTTTCTTCGAAGCGTTTGACAGCTATTTGACAGCTGTCAATTGTCAATATTATCGATTTGACATCTTATTTGAATTCAGCGTCCTCAAAAACATATGATAACATCCTTTAATATGAAATTTATTTTTTTTAGCATTTGACAGCTATTTGACAGCTGTCAACTGCCAATATTATCGATTTGACATCTTATTTAAATTCAGCGTCCTCAAGAACATATGATAACATTCTTTAATATAAGATTTGTTTTTCTTTGAAGCTTTTGACAGCTATTTGACAGCTGTCAACTGTTAATATTATCGATTTGACATTTTATTTGAATTCAGCGTTCTCAAAAACATATGATAACATTCTTAAATATAAGATTTGTTTTTCTTTGAAGCATTTGACAGTTATTTGACAGCTGTAAACTGTCAATATTATCGATTTGACATCAAATTCAAATTCAGCATCCTCAAAAACTTAAGGGCATACATTAAAATAATTAAAATAGGATTTTCAAGAAGGTGACATGCGTTTTAGAGGTTTCTATACTATGGTGGAGTCACGGAGCTTCGGAGCTCCATAGGAGCCAAACCATGGACTTTAAAGCTTAGTGCCTTTCAAGACTTTTGTTTAGGATGAAAAAATGTATAACATATCAAAAATTCAGACAATTTGACCAAGAGTGCATTTCCTATCTTTTTGTGCGGGGTCCTTTTAAATATATTATAAATATAACCCAATATTTCAAATAAAAATCAAGGCATATAGTTATGTGGTGTTTTTCACCTAATTATGTACACTGTTCTATATTAAAAATGTTAATTCTTAATTTACTTACCTTTTTAGACCTCCAGGGTAATGTTATTCAATAAAAACACGAGTCGAAATCGTAGCACTAAGGATTTTTTTTAAATAAAATAAACGTTTATCTACACTCTTCCGACTGAAATCAGGATTGTCTTTGTCATTCGTCAATTCTGTCAGTAACGGATTAATTTCAAATTTCATTAGATGGCGGGAAATTTTGAAATTTGTTATTTACCAGGCGAATGTTAATATTTTAAAGGGAAACATTTTGCTGGAGTCATAGTTCTCTAAACTCTCATTAATTTATACATTAGGTGAGCTTGATTTACGTATATCGAAGAAATCCGGCTTACTAATAAATTATATAATATACTTTGCTGTTATGGAGTTAGAAAAAAATTCTTGTAAAGAACAGCGTATTGGGACAACCAGGGTAATGTGAACTTTCGCTTAAAATATTTTTTAAAACTTAATTTAAATACATTATATGACTCTATTTAAGTCGAAAATATTGGTTAATTATAGTTTTAATAGAAAAAATATGGACAATAAATGTACGATTTTGAGATATTGACCCAAATCGGGCAACGTAGTAAAGAAGTATTGCTGAACATAAACTCCTTTTTTGAAGCCGGTTAAAAATAGAAAAACAACACTCCATAAAGTACCCCCCCAGATATTCCGACTATGCCCAAAATGTAACATATTTATTAAAGCTTAAATTTAAAATTAGGTGTTATTCTCTTCAACCGTTTCGGAATTCGAAATTTGCACTTATTCTGAAATATCTCGAATACAGTCCATTTTAGAGAAATTATGTATGGGATAAAAATTATAGAGAATTATATTAAAAACAACTTTTTTTTAAACAATTTTTATAAAAAATTATTTTTTTTACATTTTGTCAAATTTCTCGAATACGGACCATTTTAGGAAAATTTTGTGTAAAACAAAAAATTATAATAATAATATTATAAGTAACTTTTATATAAAGAATTTTCTTTTCCAAACGTAAATAACAGATATATTTAATAAAATATAAAAATTACCACCCATAAAGTACCCCCCTCAGATGTTCCGACTCTGCCCAAAATCTAACCAGTTCATTGAACGCCAAAATAAAGCTTACATTTAAAACTTGGTGGTTTTATTTGTATCGGTTCATGAGTTATGGTGGACACACACACACACACACACACACACACACACACACACACACACACACACACACACACACACACACACACACACACACACACACACACACACACACACACACACACACACACACACACACACACACACACACACACACACACACACACACACACACACACACACACACACACACACACACACACACACACACACACACACAGACACACACACACACACACACACACACACACACACACACACACACACACACACACACACACACACACACACACACACACACACACACACACACACACACACACACGCACGCACGCACGCACGCACGCACGCACGCACGCACCCACACACACACACACACACACACACACACACACTGTAACAACCACCGTCACTTAGAAAGTAACTGTTGTCACTAAATATTAATGTAGTGGCCAAAAGGACTCTAGTCATCAACGGGGGGTATACACTGTTAGTGTAAAGGCAGCCTGTCACCAGCCACAGTCAGGGGATAAGGTCCTTAGAGCTTATTCACTCTCACCGTGACAAAAAAAGGAAAAAAGAAAAAATAAAATAATAGGTTTAAAATAAAAAGAATTTTCCCCCGTGATGAATAGAGCGAGCGGATTAAGGAAATAGTTTGGCAAACTGACAATAGGCACTTATAGTCCTTACTCGGGAGTAGGTTCGCCGGGGCTTCGCAAAAGTGCCCGGAGTGTCCTTTGACAAAAGGGAAAGGTAGACCTGATGAAATCGAATATATTTCATAGCCTTCCTCTCATCAAATTTCCCAAAATATAAATTTTCCCTAACATTTGATTGCACTACTTCCCCCCAGTAACAATCTAAAAAACTCTTTTCAAAGTCCTCGTATGATACAAATTCCCTCTCCCTACTAGAAAACCATAACAACACATCTTTATCAAATGCTTCCCTGATATACTCCTTCATTTCCTCAACACAATTAATATTTGCTGTTCTATTTCTTAAGATGTTCACAAACACCTCAGAGTGAATTTTCCGTATACTCCCATCAAACCTATTCTCTATCCTTCCCCCTTGAAAAACACCTATACTTTTTACTACACCTATATTTTCTATCCCTCGAATCCTATCTTCTATTGCCTCATCTCTTTCTTCCGATCTTTTATCCACCAAGGCCACTGCTTCCTGTACCTTAACGAAATTATCATTAACATCCCTTCCCACGAATCTCCTAATCTTATCATCCTGTACCTTCTCTATCTCATTTATTCTACCAATTACCTCTTCTCTAATCACTTCCTTATTCTGTTCCAACTTTTTATCTGTTTCTACTTTTAAAAATTCCATCTCTTGGCTTAGCTCAACCTTAGTACTATCTAACCTTCTACCGATATTACCAACTTTTTCCACTAACCTATCTACCTTTCCTTCAAACCTAACTATGCCTTCCTCCATCTTTTTCTCTAACATTTTCCTATTTTTCTCCATCTTTTTCTCCATATTTTCCTCTAACCTATTCATCATAGCCCCATTTTTTTCCATCATCTCTCTATTTTCCTCCCTCATTTGTCTATTTTCCTCCCTACTTTCCTCCATCCTACTCATTATCATAGCAAACATACTCATCATTTTTTCATTCTCTGGTATCTCCTCAATTGTCTCTTTTTTCTCCTCCATATCCTCTCCAGCACCTGTCTTTTTTCCGTCCCTAAGATCCATTACCCCGTATAAACTGAACTGTCAAAATGACGTGTTGTCACAATTTTCAAATTCTGAAGTTTTATTTAGATGACCCTCTTACACACACTTACAAACCCACACCTATGGCAAATATATTACAAGTGCAAGTCTTACCAATCCGTAATCCTTGTAATATGCTCAGTATTGAATCTGCACCTGCACGTATCTCGGCGCAGCTCCACGTTGGACGAATCTCTGCCCCACGTTGGCGGCCAATTGATATGAATCTCCCCCGGACTAGCTCTGAGCACCAGGAAATTCCTCCCTGAGGGTGTGCTTCAGCTAAAATAATCATTAAATTTTATGTACAAAAATCTTCACAAAAATCAAATTCTCCGATTGCCACGTCTTCTGTAATATTTTAAAAAATAAAATCAATCCTCTGCACTCTACTCTAGATCTGCACTTCTCTGCTACATCCCGCTACTGTCACATCTGACATGTCCTTCTCAATATAATAACCTCTAGTAATATGCAAATCGGTACTTATCTTTTATCTCTCAATGTCCAGGTACAGTGTCGACTGCCTTTTCACCACCATGAAATTTAAAAAAAAAAATACTCAGCGTCCAATTAATTTTCTTTTATTGCAAGAGATTCCATACAACTGAATTTGGTTATTGTGATTTGTATTGATATTCAGAAAAGTTTCTTTGTATAAAAAACTTTCAATGATTTAATCTGAGACTTCCAAAAAAGAGGACCTTCCCCTTCGTTGTATTATTTCTCCATCAATGTTTTTTTTCTCATCAACAAAAATCACAATTCCCTTACTATTTTTTTTTTTTTTAACAACGCAATTAATGTAGCTCCACCTAATCAGGGTGATATATTTCCTAATTCCCGTATGCAGTCAAATCAGGAAACCATATCAATATATATATATATATATATATATATATATATATATATATATATATAGATTCGTCCTGCCGACGTTGTGACATCATGTCGCAAAAATGTTGCTATCTCTATAACATCCGTCTGCGATGTGACATCCAAATTCGGATGTCACAACGTTTTTGGGGTTCAAACATCATAAAGTAGGTTTAAAAGGGCGCCAAAAAAATTTCAGCTGGATGTCATAATGCTTAATTTTCAATTTTATGTATATATTTAGTTCCAGTGTATAGATGCGAAGGTGGCGCTCGCGTCAGTTGGTTTTGTATATTTTGTATATTAAATATTTCAGTCCCTCGACTGTATAACATCCACCATTAAGTATATTAGAATTTACTCACTCGACTGTCTGACATCCAACATTCAGTATATTAAAACTTACTCACCCGACTATCTGACATCCACCATAGAGTATATTAGAACTTTACACACTAGGTTATGTGACATCCAAAATATTTATTTTAGATATATTTGGATTTTTATTTTAAGATCTATTTTGTGTTAACACATAAGCTGCCAAAATTTTTTCTTGGGTTTCGCATGAAGCCAACAAGTTTCTTAAATGCATTCACTCTCTGTGACTATTTAATAAATATATAATATATGCATCTATATTGATACAAGGTGTATCAACAATGAGTGAGTGAACGAGACTAATTTATATTAAAAGAAATCACACGAAATTAAATTAAAATAAATTAAAATAAATTAAAATAAATTAAAATAAATTAAAATAAATTAAAATAAATTAAAATAAATTAAAATAAATTAAAATAAATTAAAATAAATTAAAATAAATTAAAATAAATTAAAATAAATTAAAATAAATTAAAATAAATTAAAATAAATTAAAATAAATTAAAATAAATTAAAATAAATTAAAATAAATTAAAATAAATTAAAATAAATTAAAATAAATTAAAATAAATTAAAATAAATTAAAATAAATTAAAATAAATTAAAATAAATTAAAATAAATTAAAATAAATTAAAATAAATTAAAATAAATTAAAATAAATTAAAATAAATTAAAATAAATTAAAATAAATTAAAATAAATTAAAATAAATTAAAATAAATTAAAATAAATTAAAATAAATTAAAATAAATTAAAATAAATTAAAATAAATTAAAATAAATTAAAATAAATTAAAATAAATTAAAATAAATTAAAATAAATTAAAATAAATTAAAATAAATTAAATTAAATTAAAATAAATTAAAATAAATTAAAATAAATTAAAATAAATTAAAATAAAATAAATTAAAATAAATTAAAATAAATTAAAATAAATTAAAATAAATTAAAATAAATTAAAATAAATTAAAATAAATTAAAATAAATTAAAATAAATTAAAATAAATTAAAATAAATTAAAATAAATTAAAATAAATTAAAATAAATTAAAATAAATTAAAATAAATTAAAATAAATTAAAATAAATTAAAATAAATTAAAATAAATTAAAATAAATTAAAATAAATTAAAATAAATTAAAATAAATTAAAATAAATTAAAATAAATTAAAATAAATTAAAATAAATTAAAATAAATTAAAATAAATTAAAATAAATTAAAATAAATTAAAATAAATTAAAATAAATTAAAATAAATTAAAATAAATTAAAATAAATTAAAATAAATTTAAATAAATTTAAATAAATTAAAATAAATTAAAATAAATTAAAATAAATTAAAATAAATTAAAATAAATTAAAATAAATTAAAATAAATTAAAATAAATTAAAATAAATTAAAATAAATTAAAATAAATTAAAATAAATTAAAATAAATTAAAATAAATTAAATTAAAATAAATTAAAATAAATTAAAATAAATTAAAATAAATTAAAATAAATTAAATTAAAATAAATTAAAATAAATTAAAATAAATTAAAATAAATTAAAATAAATTAAAATAAATTAAATTAAAATAAATTAAAATAAATTAAAATAAATTAAAATAAATTAAAATAAATTAAAATAAATTAAAATAAATTAAAATAAATTAAAATAAATTAAAATAAATTAAAATAAATTAAAATAAATTAAAATAAATTAAAATAAATTAAAATAAATTAAAATAAATTAAAATAAATTAAAATAAATTAAAATAGATTAAAATAAATTAAAATAAATTAAAATAAATTAAAATAAATTAAAATAAATTAAAATAAATTAAAATAAATTAAAATAAATTAAAATTAATTTAAATAAATTTAAATAAATTTAAATAAATTTAAATAAATTTAAATAAATTTAAATAAATTTAAATAAATTTAAATAAATTTAAATAAATTTAAATAAATTTAAATAAATTTAAATAAATTTAAATAAATTTAAATAAATTTAACATGTTGAGTACGGTGTGGCATTTAACGGATGCCTCACTGCTTGTCCTTTTTTTTCAATTTAAATCAACTTAAATCAATTTAAATCAATTTAAATCAATTTATATCAATTTAATTCAATTTAAATCAATTTAAATCAATTTAAATCAACTTAAATCAATTTAAATAAATTTAAATCAATTTAAATCAATTTAAATCAATTTAAATCAATTTAAATCAATTTAAATCAATTTAAATCAATTTAAATCAATTTAAATCAATTTAAATCAATTTAAATCAATTTAAATCAATTTAAATCAATTTAAATCAATTTAAATCAATTTAAATCAATTTAAATCAATTTAAATCAATTTAAATCAAAGTTAATAAAAAAAATTAAATAAATTATAACATAGATTAAAATAAATAATTAGCACTTCTTACGGTTCGACCTAACATAAAAAATATGATGAGCTAACTTATAAAAACGACAAATTTAGATTTCCTGACACCTTAACAGCCTAGTCCTCCACTTGAACTCCAATTTCGACTGCAAACGATCGTCTTTCGTGCATCGTCGGTGCCTTGCTGTTTAGAGTTATAACCTTAATAGTATGTTCAAGTAGCGATAAATATTGATGTACGCGGATTTTATTTGTCTTTTTTTATTTTAGAGTGAATTAATCTACGAAGTTTTACTTCACTCTTTTTTTTAATACTTAGTTTTTTTATGCTACTGATATTATTCCAAATAACCTTACTTAATGATTCTTTCGTCATTTATAACCGAGATACAGGTAGTTTTATTAACTTTGCCAATTTCTTTTTTGTTTCATAACTTACTAACCACCCTTACATGTTATTGAAATTTGGCACATGTATTCTCTACAACTTACCATAATCTATTAACGTATTAATAAGAAACAAAATGCAGTTCCATCTTTTCAAAAAAAATTTAAAATTTGTCTATCCTTATAAGAACACACTACAAGTCGTTAAATTTGTATCCATATTTGGAAAAAGCACAATAAAAATAATTATATGCTTTTAATTTTTACTAGATGATTTTATTACTAAAATTAACTGTTTTTATATTATTTTTAAACTAAGCATATTTTTAAAAGTTACATGTTATGCGTGTACACTACAATAAAATGTACTTACAAGTCCATATTTATGATCAAATATAATCATTACTTTTTAATTAATCACTGCATGCCGTACCAACATCATAATCGCTAGACTCTAGGCAAAATTGATTCAAAGCATTGCTTTTGGTAGGTACTGATAAGCACAGATATATAAAAGTACCAACATAATATATAGCTTTTAAAAATTCAGTTGGAATTAAATTATCCTCATTATAACGTATTGAAGTTACTTAAAACCCCCATTAGTTTCATTTTTTATCTCCAAAATGCTCAAAAATAAAAATTTAGACGTTATATTTTAGCAGTAAAATCATTGTACAATAACATGACTAATTTTAGTTTTTTTGGTCTCTTTAAATATGGAAACGAAACTAACTAATTCAGAAATGTACTTTTTTGTGTAACTCGAAAGTTATAATTTGAAGTTAAAAATGTTTGTAGTAAAATACATTCACCGACCTAAAATTTGATCCATTCAAAATAATGATTTATATAAAAATGCTCTAACTTTCAAAGGCTTATTTATTTGAAGTTTTTAGCAACTTTTAGATAAAATACTGTAGTTTTAAGATATACGGGGGGGGGGGGGGAAAGAAAA